GGGATTACCACGAATACCAACTTCTTTGACTCTTTAGACTCCTGTGCAGAGATGGCAGTTGAGCTAAATCTGCTTAGCACCACAATCATGAACATAGAGGAAGATGAATAGGTGCAAGCAATCTTATATAAAGAATGTGCGACTGTAATAATTAATGAAGAAGAGAAGTTCACTAAATCATTCCTAATTCTGTTAGTGGATACAGCCCAATTGACATATACACAAGATGTAATAAGGGATGCATCCCGGGAAAGTGACATTACATAACAGTACAAGGAAACATTTCCCAAATATAGAAAATAAAAATGCCTCGTAGCTATCCAACAGGATGATTAATCATACTTTTAACATTCCCCCATAAATTCAAGGTGACTATTGTCAGAGTTTGTACAAAATTATTTAACATATAAGCCAACCAAGGTCATTAAGCCAACCAAGGTCATTGGATAAACAACTCAACACTAATAGCATAGAATGAGTTCATGTGGATTTATGTTACCAAACTAGAGAAAAGTCATCATGCCGATCATGTTCAACTTCAAGAGCCATTATCGTCAAGGTGGAGCCAACATAATTTGCCAAGAGAGCAAGACTGACAGTTGCCAAAGTGAGCAAAGAACAACCTCAAGTATCAGCAAAAATGAGCATAGGGAGACAGTTGAACAGCCAAAGAATTGCTCAAAGAAGAAGCTCAAACGAAGACCAAAGTGAAACTGTAAGTCCCTTTTTAGATCAGGAAGGCAGATTAGCCTGGAATTAACTTTTCACACACTAAGAGGGGCTAAACCCCATAAAAGATCTTGATAAAGTGTTAATAGCAAACTCAATCCTGATCACGGCACCTTTAGTTGATGAAAAAACTGAACACGATGGAAAAAGTGCATGAATGTGCACTGAGGAGTAAAGATGAGAAAGCTGCACATACCATGCGTAAAAGTTATCGGTGCTATTCATTAAGACATTTCATCGAACATCTTTAATGCATTGTTGGTTTTCTTCTTTCCATTCTCTCCTGTCTCCATTCCCCCACCCCTTACCCCACTCTTTGCCTCTATTCTCTTATTGGGTTGGACTAAAAGAGCACACAAGGGATTTCTTTGAGAAATTCGAGTCAAGGCGACTCTAGCTGTAGGTGATGTTGGTTTGTGCTTACAGACTCAGATACCACGTTATAATTAATGAAGAGAATGATGTATTTCCGTATATATATATATATACGAGATACAAAGGATGTGTTAGATAAATTGCGACTATTTTTTCATAATAAACGTTTATTAGTCAAATTTCGAATTTTGTCCCATCAACATAAAAGGAGAAATTTGGTTATTGCTCATAGATTAATTTATCTTCTCCATTAAAAATAAAAAAATAAAAAACAGAACTCACCTGCAACTCTGAGTGGAAACCCCTGCATCTGAATCTTTATCCCTCGAAAACCCGGCACTCTTAGGCAAGATTGGCCCAAACTTTACAAATTCCGGAATCTTCCTACTCAACTCATGCAACGGCGTCACCGGCGAT